TAATACTCTTTTTAAAGACTAATGGAAATTTAGCTTCCATTTATGGCCTAAATGTAGAAACCTGTCTTTTTGCAGATAAGTAAGTTTCTGTGTACAGACCATCTGGATACTGAATTATTACTTAATTTTCATCAAGTAAAAAAAAAGCAACATATTGAAACTTAATTTTTAAAACCTCACAATAGCATACAGATTGTGTTTTATTACTACCCATAAAACTAGAAACATTTTTAATAGCTAAGCACTTATAGTAAAAGAGCATAAACAACTTCTTGATTTGCATACTTAGGAATTTAACTGTGTCAAGATGATATATTGTTGACATCCCAAATGCTCTATTTGAGTACATTTATAGTGACTTTATAATGATTTAGCTCCATTCTTTCTTTATTGCTGGATTTCTTTTTCTTAAACTCTGATAAATGTTTCTTTACATCTTTGTATCCCATTTTTAAAAATATTTAAAACAAAAAGGGAAAAAGCAGGTACATTTATAAAATCAAATAAATGTAAAAGTGAACAGGATTCACATATACCCATGCATGCAGACACTGTGTATATATTGCAATATATACATATATGTACATGCATGTATTTATATATATTTAAAATCAGTAATGATTTTTAAATCTGATTTAATTAAATAAATGCTTTAGCACTAGTTTCAAGTAAACATGTCATTTTTTTGTGTCTCTTACCTGAGTTTACTTCATTTGAAAGTCAGTGAGAGGAAATAATTGAGGTAAAGAAATCTGCATACAAATAATACTCTTCCATGGCCAAGTTTTAGGTAATTGTGGCTCATGAAAAATGGCTACATTAAATATGAGTAGAATTTGACAGTTCATCTCTATTTATCTCTGTCTGTGCAATTTACCTCAATTTAATCCGTAGCTCAGCTTTGTGTATACAAACTTTCGTACAGTTCTCTAAGATTGATTTAGAGTCTCTAGAAAGGAATAGGAATCATTTTTTAAGATCTTTCCAAAAGGAGCATTTTTGTAATTTTACTTACATAGTTCCTTAAATACATCTACATTTAAGTAATTAAGTTTTATGATTCACATGATTTTAAAATATAATGGTAGAATATGGGTCTTTAATTCCTGGACTAGAACTGTATTCATTCTAGAAGTACACTAAAATTCATTCTATTGCACATGATTGATTTAAAATATTTTAGTTCATATTATACTTTTAAACATACATAAAAACTGTGCTATTGTTTGAATGTTTTTGTCCCCTGAAATTCATATGCTGAAATCCTAACCTCCACAGCTTAAGAGATGATGTCTTTGGGAAGTGATCAGATCATACGAGTGAAGATTAGTGTTTTTATGAGAGAGGGCTCAGAGAGCTGTCTTAATCCATTCATCATGTAAGGGACAGAAGATAGAAGTGGCTGTCTTTGAGAAACAGGTCCCCTCCAGTTGCTAAATACAGCCAGGTCTTAATCTTGGACTTACTATACTTGAGAACTGTAAGAAATAAATATTTATTATTTATAATCTCCTCAGTTTTTGATATTTTAATATTTTATATGCTCTGTTATAACAGCCAAAATAGATTGGGACAATTGATGTGCAATTAAATTTGTGAACAATTGAGTACCCAAATTTAAATATTTTGAGTTTGGTCAATAATATCTGATTCTAGACAGTTTGATAATGTTTTCTTCTTTAAAAAGAAATTCTTTTTTTAATTTTCAATGCCATTATCAACAAAGTGTCTATTGCTATTATTGGTTGGGATTATCAGACATATGATACAGTGTACTTAGTTTGAAATTATCATTTCAAAGTCCAGTGCAAAACCTATTCTAGATTTGAACAAATAATTCATTTTGATGTTTACATGAATTGTATAAACTATATCATCACTAGTTTTAAGAATTTTTTCCTTTTGTAATTTATTGAAATGTGAGAATTATTTTGAACACACTCAGAGTTCATTGGATATTATAAATCTTTCCACAGCTATCAGCTTACATCTGCACTTTTAGGGTATTTATTGCCTTGACAGGCAGAAAGAGGTACCAGTGTTGAGTTTAGAAGGTTTAGAAGATCTTAAGATCCATATTAAGTATAAAAGTTTCAGTGATGAATTACAATTTAAAAAACTATGGTAAGGATACATAGCTAATTCTATACATCACTATTCTCACATCAGTCTTAAAAAATGTTATGTAATCATTTATAAAACAATGGTTTCATTAATGATTCTCAGATATTAGCATGATTACTATAAATTGAAATTATATATTTAAAGTTGGGTACTCAATTGAATGAAAAATGTCTTCAAATTTTTATATTTATATTTATTTAGATATATAACATCAAACACTAATATTTTAAACTTCATGGAAAGTTTATGGACTGTTATATTTCAAAGGATGAGGTACATGAGAGTTACAGAATTTCTGTACACTCTTGTACCATATTTTCTTCATATATTCAATAAAAAATAAATTTGAAATTAAAAAGTAATCAGAGAACTAACATTAAAGAATTATGCCATAGTAGAAAAAATTTACAATTTCATTAACTGTGTTATGCAATTACAGTTAATATGATAGTTTTGTCAAAATGAATTATAAATTGAGCAATCATACTGTATTGATTTTGTGTAATATATGTATATATATATATATATACACAGGGTTTTTTTTGAGCTCTACATAGTCCCTGTTAAATTGATGTTTGGCCTAAGTTTGTTTCTGTACTTAGGTGATAAAATTTTGTTCAAAGCTGCTTTCAGGTTAGGGTAGCAAATTTCAATCTAAACTAATATGCAAACAAACTGCTAATTTAAGAGTATATTTATGAGACAGATGAATCTCAGCCAATTATAATAATCATGCTTATGTCAGTCACAAGATACCAACTGATCAGAACATGCCCAATCAAATGATGACTGTAGCCAATCGGGTTGTCTCTGTGTTACTTCTTTTCCTCTGGCTAGAAATAAAACATGAAGATGAGACTTTCTGATACAATTTCTTTCCTAAATGCTGCCCAGTTCTAACATTTTACATGCTCAAATAAATTTGTTAAATTTAATTCATCTCAGGATTGTTCTTCAGCACATGAATTTGCAAGAGGACCCTGGGAAATAAAAGTTTCTCCAGTTTTCTGAATGAAAATACAGAGAATCAATTTGATTCACTGTCCAAGACCTGAAACCTAAGCAAATAATCCAAACTCATCCTCTTAGGTATTCTCAGTGTTTTACCCACAATTGCTCAAATTCATTCACTTATTTATGTTTTAGTACACATATTTGCATCACGATACTGCTGCCTGAAATTGTCCCATTTTGTTGACTCTCTTCCTCCTCCTAAACACATACATTTTATGCACAAATTGAAGAGATGTGCAAATTCTCAAGATTATGACTTTGATCACTTGAGCACAGTTTGTTGCGTTTTCTTCTTTTTCAGTTTTGAGGCACTCTACCACTTGAGCAATTCCTCCATCCCTTTTTCTATTCTATAGAGTATTTTTGATATAGTGTCTGGAGAACTATTTGCCTAGGCTTCAAACCACTATCCTGATCTCTGCCTCCTGAATAGCTAGATTACAGATGTGAGCCACCAGTGCCCGACTTCAGTACAGTCTCTTTTGTTCATTTTATTTTGATTTCTAATAATGTCATAGCTGTGAGTCTTTAAATTTATTTAAAATTGCATATTTATCATATCTAAAATGGAAAACTGTAAAATGTTAGAGGTTATGAAAGTGTAAATGGAGATGTTAGCAGTGATTCATTTGCTATCATTTATTATTTATACAAAGATAAATGCTATAATTTATGAAGTTTTAAGATATACCATTTAAACCTAATGAAATCAAACATAGTAGTTTACTTCAAATTATTATATGGGAGAAAGAGATGAGGTTAATAAACTAAAAAGAAACTTTGCAGGCTGAAAATGTTCCTTCTCTTTAGTTTTCTGCTATACTTAGACAACATAGTTTTATTAATTTTCCTTTTAATCATAATTATGAAATAGCTTATAAATAAATGAACTCTTTCAAAATATAATTATATCAAAAATAATTTGATAGGTAATTTAAAAATAGGAGTATCACATAACTTTTAATTTTCTTTACTCCCCATTTTATGAAGAAAGTCCTTTAAAATATTCTCACTTATAAATTGAGCTCAAACATAATTCACTCAGTCATACAAAAATAAACTAAGATATTTCTGAGAAATTCTTACTGCTATTACCCTGAAATTTTCATCATCAGTCTTGAACATTGAATAATACAATTGACATGGTTATTAAAACCCAACATTTAACAGACATTATGTTTTCCTGGAATAAGAGGAAGACTACTGAAACTGTTTTCAAAGATAGTAACTCATTAGAATAATAAGAATTAATAAAAATCCCAAGAAAAACAGATAGTCTAACTTAGAACCGTTTGCAAGTAAGGAAAAATAATAGCATACGTGCCCTTGTTGCAACTTAATTACACGTAATACTGTAAAGGTGCCATGAATTTCAAGTTAAATTGTTAAGCATAACATATATTAGTATAGCCAACATGACAGAAAACACATATAAGTAGGAAAAACAGAATTAAATATGACAAATCCTCTCTGAACGTTGCTTATGTGGAAAGTAAGTTCATTTCTTCATTGTACCTACTACTCAATGACTGCTCATAAATGCTTTTTATATTTCTCAACCACAATGTAATTCTTTTTTGTCCTTAAGGATGTGTTCCATATCCATATTTTAATTGCTTAATATTGTAGGGTAACATATTTTAATCTGTATTCCAGAATGTTTTGATAATCATAAATGACACTAAGAAATAAAATATATCATGTCTCATTATATTTCAATAGTCTTAACTGATAGTAGTTTAGGTGACTTATTTACCTTTCATACTTAAATAAAACTGGATCTTTATTATTCCACCCTTACAAAACCTCTACATAGCTACATTCCTCTGTTTTCCAGGCCATAGCAAAGAAGTATACTGTACCTCTGATGCTGTTGGTTGCTGCAGATGTGGTTGGGCTGGTTGTTATGGCTACAGTGGTTGTGACTGTTGCAGTGGTAAGGGAAGGGATGATGGTAGTGGGAAGCAAAGTGTTGGGAACATCTGGTGAGTGGAAAAAACAAAATACAAAACAAAATCATATCATGCAAACAAAAGAGAAACACAAATGATTCAAATTTAAGCACATATATCTTATTTAGATTCAACTTTTACAAGCTTAAGCAGGATACCAGGTACAAAACTGACTGTACCATACAGTTTCTGTCATTTTTTTTCACTTCTTTTTCATGCTCCAACCCAAGGCAAAGTTTTGGAGCCATGTTTGAGAATAAGCAGATTGTTTGTAATATTTAGAGTGAAACTTAAAATGACCAGAATCCATTTGTTCACTGAGTCACTTGAAAAGTTTGACATGCAGTAGCAAAATACATATATTTAAAACAAAAAATGACATGCTTTGTCAAAGAAATAAACAAAAAAAGACACACACAGAAATAAACAAAAATATCACCACTTAAGATTAAATAAATGTTAATGATGAATGTGTATACACATGTTAAATGCCTTTTCATTTTTTTTTTGAGGAAATCTTAATGATGGGAAGCACGATGACAGTAATCTTTAGAAACAAACAAAAGAAGCCAACTGTTGTTATTATTGTTATTTTGCTTCTCCTGTTTTCACAGATGATGTTAATGTACAGTTTGGAGTCTTACAATTCTTACCCCATTAGCTGGTAACGCCTTCTAACAACTTTGCAGTACCTAGGAGTCTTTAACAAGTATTAAGTCAACTAGCATGGAACCTAATATTCTGAAAGGTTTGTGCCTTATTTTAATATGGCATACGTAGAGGAAGTGACTGAACACAGACTCGAACTGTACCACTGAATTCTGATTCATAATCAATCAAGATGCCAAAAGTAAAAACATCGAATTAAATACACAGACAGTAGTAAACAGAAAGAATTAACTCAGCTTTCAATGCCCAAGTTTTCCCTCCCTTCATTCAAACCAGATAAAAAAAATGAAGACTAGCAAGAGAGCATTGAAACAATATAGCTGGTGTCAAGAGACGAGAATCTCAGGAAGATCCTTAGAGCAAAACTTTGTCTCAAATGGATAGGCATGCAATTTACACAGTGAGGAAATTAGAAACAGTTCCCAAATTACCTGTAGTTACTGTGCTGGGGTTTGATTTCACATGTTTGTCACACAGCTCCTATATATTCAGAGTGTTTGACAGATTATTTTGCTATTAAAAGATTTCCTGTCATTTTCTCAATAAAAGACTTTGAGTCACACCAGATATTTTCTAGTTCTTTCCTTCTGATAAATAGCTCTACTCATTCTACAGACCCTACCTGCTGAATTCTCTTCACTGGAGACACCAGAAAGCAGCATGAGATCACTTCCTTATCTTGAGTATTGATGTTTACACCTGTTTTTCAACAGGGAAAATGCTTCCTGGCTAGTGAAATTAAGAAAACAACCCCTGAAAACTCAACAGTACTCCATTAATCACTAGGGAAAATGGGTATTGCCTGGAGTGTGATTTACCATGATCATAATGTGGAACTGAATTTAAATAATTATAAATGAATAAATAATATGTATGTATCCACATAGCATTTCTTGTTTGATAATTTTTATAAAATTCTCCTATTTCATGCTAAGCTTCTTAACTACTTTAGAAGGCTGGAGGTAAATGAAAACAAATTTTTAAGTGTATAATTTTAACCTTTGTGAATATCTAAATTGGAAAATAAAACATTATTAGTAAAATCATTTGCACATTAGTATCTCAAAATACATGTATTTAATAAATGCAAAGGCCAATGTCTTCTCAAACTACCATATTTAAGATTAATTATATTTGTTATTTAAAACAAATTGGCAATATCCCTTTGGCTCTTATCCTACTAAGAAAAGTAGTCATTCAAAAGCAAGATTATAAAAAGCAAGAATACAAAAAACAGGGATTTGTTCATTTGCTTATTTTGGATTAGACAAAACATCATTTGGAATTTTTCTTATTCCATATCAACAAATATAGAAATTCTGAATTGTTTTGGGCTCTTATTTCCATGTCTTGTGAGTATTCTTTTATAAAGCAAATACTTTCCTTTTCTTACAAGTGTCAACATACATAAGGCATGAATTCTTTTTCCTGAGCTAACATTCAGAAAAAAATGCATAATTTTAATAATTGTTAACCCACTTGAAAAGAATTTCCCAGAACCTTGGAAAATGTCCAGATAGATAATAATGCACGTCATTATTGTCACCTAGTCCAGATCCTGCTTATCTCCCTCAGCATCTTCTGCTGTCCTTCCTTCTTCACTTAATTTGTAGCTGAAAGCAATGTGATGAAAAGGAGAATGGCCAATATAATAACTAGGTCAAGAAAATAGCCTGTCAATGTTACATGTTTTTGACTGCTACTGGCTTATGTTCTTTGAAACATTCTGCACATTTTTTCCAGTAATTATGAGAACTTCTTCATTCTGTTCTTTCTTTTTACCATTCATTCAATTTTTGAGTTCTATTGCAAAATAACCAAAAATAAAAGTTGAAATAACCTAAATACTAAGTTACATAAGATTAAATAGAATAAAAATTATGCAATGCACTTAAAATTCCAATAATTAGTTGAAACTAGTTAGAATTCTCAGAGAGATAAAAAAAATTGTGTGATACTCAGACGTGCTAACTGCTCTCATTTTAGTCTAGTGTTTTCCCACTTGATGACTAGTTTCTGAGGGTAAGAACTATACCCAGTTTACCATGGAAACATCAGACAATATAGAAGGTCAATAAACATTTAGAAGTACATTTATGAAAACATTATAAATATACACCCTGTTAAGGGGATTTAGAAATATTTATATGACAGGATCAATTAGTTACTATAAAAGTACATGTTTTCTTTCTTTCTCTCAAAGAATTCTGTCTTCAACAGAAATAGAAAGGTAAAAATTTCAAGATATGTTACTTCTTTATATCAGAAAAAAGTAATAAAAGCAAAAAAAATTTGCTCACAATTTCTTCTACTTTGAATACAGGTGAATCTGAGCTAAGACTCTGTAGGAACTTCCTTCTTGTTCACCTAATTTGAGACTTTCAGAAAAAACATTATGATTAATTTATGAGTAACTTTATCATCCCACTTGTGAAAAACATTAAGATAGCTTCCTTGTCTGTAATATTTTGCACACACACACACACACACACACACACACACACACATATACACATACACATTTGAGTTATGTTACAGAAAAAGAACTATTCAATGTCATATGTAGCTATATAATTGAAAGGTTTCTTTACTCTAATCTCAAGGTCATTAATTTTTGGTTGTCTGTTTGAAACTCTTGTCAGAGTAGAAATTAGCAAAAATCTTTGAGTCATATTCTTTTTTTTCTGTTTCTCACTCCTACAAGTGAGTGTCAATATTTGGTACCAGTTAGTAGAGTTTCAAAAATTTTTGCTTAGAGCATTAATTTTTGGCTTTCTAGTTACACATTAATTACAAAAGTGGTGGAATGTTTTCATGAAGAAATATAGAATTGGAACCACTGCCATTAATTGTATGCCTCATTTATGATATATATACATATGTATATATATATGTAGAATCCCATGCATTTTATCAACAATTATACTGCAATACGAGAAATATTCCATTAGAAATAGAACAGGATAGAAAATGTAGGCCATAATTCTCTTTTAAAACACATCTTTTCTTCATATTTTCAAAAGAAAAATATAGTCATTCATACACATGAGAACTATATACATGAAAACACAATAAAAATACTAAATACCAATGTTACTACAAGATAATCTACTTTCACACTGATATCATAAGTAATATGCTGAATGAAATACTTAGTGGATAAGAAGGGTATTTGGGAAAGTTAACTAAATGAAAATAATTAGATTTTTTCTAGATCTGATCAATTAGTAATTATATAAAATTTTAACATACTTTAAATACAAATAAAATGAATTTAATAAAGTTCTTCATATTAGATTTTAAGAAATTGTTATTAACAATAAACTTGTTTGAATGTTATCTAATCTACCGATAGTTCATAAAAATTATTAAAAGTTTTGATCACATTGTACAGAAATGTGAATACCAATTTCTCTGAAATCATGATTGTGTGTTTTAAATTTCTTTTAACTGACTAAATCTCAGGATATACTAAATACTGTATATTACTTTATTCAAATGGATAAAAATTGCTAAAAATGCTTGATAAATTTAGATGGGCTATTAAAGGAATTCATAAAGTTCTATTATTCACTAATTAAAATGTAAATATATAAATATTTTATTCAATGTATGAAATATGCATAGATTAATTATATATACATACATTGTATAATCAATTATGTACTTAATTTTTTATAATAAATTATGGATTCTGTAAATGCACACATGCATATATAAAACTATAGTAAATGCAGAGATTTGCTTTAAAGGAAAAATGTGGAGACAAAAAAAATTAGTGGAGACAAATTTTAGGCTGAAAAAGTTATTCATAGACTGAATGTTGAGTTATAAATAAATGCAATGTAAATACTGCAGGGTACTTCTATAACAACCCAGTCTGTAAGTGCCTGAATGTCAATTTAATCGTTTGACAAAAAAAGATGTTAAAGAAGAGAAATAAGATTTGCATCCAAGGGCCATTTGTAAACTTTTTATGGTAAAATTCCAAACCAACCATTGCTTTGAGGCAGCCATGATAGATCACCTGTAAAAACAAGGACTAGAGTTCCTCAGAGCATAATTCTTGACTTCTTCATTTCTCATTGTGCCAGGTGAACATAAAGAAGATCAAACCCAAGAGGACATTTGCCCCAGACACAAATACTTTCAGCCAAGTTCTTGGTATAGCTCTTCGTAATCTTAGTGCTGTCATGTTCTCAGAATTACATCCTGTTTCCTGACATTGTTATTTTCTTTTTCATGTCTATTTGTCAAGTCCTGCTTTAAAGGTTTAAATAATGATCGCATGTGTAAACTGTCCTCCCATTCTGCAATAAGTTGATATCTTCCTTCTCTGAATTTGCCATCTCCTTATAGGT